CATTGGGGACCAAAGCCACATGTTGTACAAGAAATTGATGCTATGGAAGAAATATGATGAACGGTTGCAGGAACTGGGTGTGTCTAGTCTAATGAAGAGAAGGACGAGGAGGTCCCATGATGGCCAACTTCCAATATTTGAGAAGCTCTCACAAAAATGAGGGGGACAATCTTTTCTCCAAAGCGCCTGAGGGAAGGAGAAGAAGCAATGGATGGAAGGTTTTCAAAGAAAGATCCAGTTTGGAACTAAAGAGAAAGTTCCTGACAATGAGAACAATCAATTAATGGAACAGAAGATGCCTCCAGAAGTTGTGGGTGCTCCATCACTGGAGGTTTTGAAGAAGAAACTGGACAGTTTACCTGTCTGAAATGGTATAGGGTCTTCTACTTGAGCAGGGGGTTGGGCTAGAAGACCTCCAAGGTCCCTTCCAACTCTGTTATTCTGTAAAACAACCAAAGATGTTTACTCAGGAACACCTATTCCCTGTCGCCCTTCTGGCACTCTAGCATAGGGATCGCCAATCTTTTGGACCTCAGGGACCACCAAACGCATAATTTTAAATCCCGCGGACCAGAGACCCTGGGAAAAATCCCCCCAAAAGTATGCAGGGAAATTCCCCACCCCGTTTTCCTACTGGTCAATCGTTCTTCTTTGGGGATCACAGGATACCGTCTCCAGCTCCGTTCTCAGGGGAGGGAGAGAGAGAGAGAGACTTTTGGCTTCAAGCAAGGAAAGCAGCAGAAGCCTTTCTTTCTCTCCCCCAAACTCTACCAGAAATGAATCTTTGCCAGCGGAGCCTCTTGGAGCAGGAGGCCTTGCAGGGTCCCAAAGACTCATTTCTGGCGGAGTTTGGGGGAGAGAAAGAAAGACTTTGGCTGCTTTCCTTGCGTGCAGCCAAAAGCAAAAGAGAGAAGCGGAAAGAAGCAGCCCGGTGGCCAGGCCAGGCATGTGGGGCGAATGGGGCAAGTTCCCCCCATTCGCCCTTTCCTCCCCTCCCCTCACTATCTCATGTTGTTTGCAATGCAAGCGACGCAAGCCTTGTGTTCCCGTGGGCCATGTGGGCAGCGCAGCCTTGTGTTCCTGCACAGCCTGGATTAATTGCTTTGGGGGTGACATTTTTATGTGGACCACCAAAATTTTCTCGCGGACCACCAGTGGTCCCTGGCCCACTGGTTAGCAACCACTGCTCTAGCACATTTTTCTGGGGGCCTCATGACTGATAAGCTAACCACAAATCCAGGTTTAGATGACACCTAGAACCATTCCTGAACTGAGTAAGCCAAGAAAAAGCTATTTTTTTAAAAGATTGTGGGCGAGACCCTTTGTTAGAACCGCAACCTAACTTCTAAGAATTAATGTATTAAATAAATTAATGTAATCAATAAATGTATTATGTACGCTATTGCTAACCATTTATTTATTTGCTTTGACTTTGACAAAAAGTCAAGAGATAGGAAAGAAAAATACCAATAAGAGAAACACGAGCAAACAGAATATATATTTGAGCAGGCCAAGAGAGGCCGGTTTTTAAAAGCCGCATTAAACTTTGACTACGTGGAATAATGCTAGCCAGCCTGTTACACTAATGGAAAGCCAATTCATCAGCAGAGAGAAGACAGTTACATCACTGATCCTTCTTAAATAGCACAAAATATCAACCATTCAGACAGATGGCAGACTGACAGCACTGGAAACTGACAATTGAAATGATTTGCTGGCTGGCACCATCGAAGTTTCCAGGAGTTCCACAACACAAACTGAAATCATGTTCAAATGCTATTGAAGTCAATGAGTCAACGATTGAAGTCAAATATTATTTGCACTGAAAGACGTTGATACGTCTTCTATATGTTCATTTCATATCTTCATTAATGACTTAGATGAGGGAATAGAAGGGGAACTCACCAAATTTGCAGATAATACTAAGCTGGCAGGAATAACTAACATCCAAGAAGATAGGCTCAAGATCCAGATGGATATTGACAGACTAGAACACTGTATCTAACAAAATGAAACTCAATGTAGAGGAAAGTAAAGTCCCACACTTAAGCAAGAAAAACCAAAATGACACATACAGACTGGGTGAAACCAGGCTCAATAGCAGTAACTGTGAGAGGGATCTTGGAGTCTTACTGAACAACCAGCTAAATATGAGGGAGCAGTGTGCAGCACCAGTAAAAAAAAACTAATGCAATTTAGGATTAACAGAGAGATTCAATCGAGATCAAGGGAGGTACTAATACCACTGTATAAAGCCTTAGTAAGACCACACCTAGAGTACTGCATCCAGTTTTGGTCACCACATTATAAAAAAGATGTTGAGACTCTAGAAAAAATACAGAGAAGAGCAACCAGGATGATTAGGGGACTGGAGATTAAAACATATGAAGAACAGTTACAGGAACTGGGCCTGGCTAGTCTAGTGAAAGAGAAGGACCAGGGGAGACAGGATAGCAGTCTTCCAATATATGAGGGGCTACCACAGAGAGGAACAAGGGGTCAAGCTATTTTCTGGCACCCGAAGGCCAGACAAGGAATAATGGATGGAAACTGAACAAGGAGAGATTCAATCTGGAAATAAGGGGAAACTTTGTGACAGTGAGAACTATCCACCAATGGAAAGGAAGTCGCCTTCGGGAGTTGTGGGAGCGCCATCAGTTGAGACTTTCAAGAAGAGACTGGACTGCCATTTGTCAGAAATGGAGTAGGGTCTCTCACTTGGGCGGGGGGGTTGGACTAGATGACCTATAAGGTTCCTTCCAACTCTGATTATCTGTTACCTGTTATGTCTGAAAGGCGTAACTTTGAATTGGAAGCTGCCTAAGAGGTAGTTGAATGCTATATGCTATATTCCATTCATCTCCCTCTTTGTCATGCCAGAAAGTTCCTGCCCCCTGGGATGTGTTTTAGCACAATCATGGGCTGCGTGTCATCAATCACATTCTCCAACAAAGGATTCTCGGGTACTTCTGGTTTTTATTGCCGTACTGCTCTTTCAGGGTTTCCCCTCCCACTTCCCACTTATGGCAAACTCAAAAACAAGCATTGATGATGTTACCCAGTTGGGATGAGGAAACATCTGCAAAGAAGCAATCTGTGATGACCCAGAGTGGGATACAACATCAACGAAGTTACAAAAACAGGTGAAGCCCCTTTAATTCCTTCAACTTGGCTTCAAAGCTCCAAATATCCTTGACTGGAGACAAAAAACTCCCCCACAAACAGTTGCAAAAAGGAGGATATGCCGTTTAAACTAAAAATACCTATAAATTATAAATAGAAAAAACAACACAAACCACACTGAAATAATTAAGGGAACCAGGCAAGATGAAGACATCCACAGATATCGGAATACACACTGGGAAGGGTGCCAAAACTCAGATAAGAACGGGCAGACTAGAAATATTTTCATGCTTTGTTTCCAGCACTGGCCCATACACATGTCCGTCCTTTTAATCAGTTCTCACAGCTGCAGCCCATGAAGGGGATCAGGGCACTTTCCACCCCCGTAGACCATGCCATTCACATTTCTCCCTTATCCACTCCTCCCTGCGTGCCCTAGGATGAAGAGGGGATGGGCCTGGGTCTTCCCCTGAATGCCCAGCAGGCCTGTGCCCTTCCCCAGCTTCCTCCACAACCTCTGGAGCCACACCTCCACTCTCTGTTGGCTGTTCCTCCTCTCCCTCAGAGTCAGTCTCCACCAGGGGCATGACACAACCAAGTTGAGAGCTCCTGTGCATAAAGAAGGAGCAAACCACACTCATTACTACTGAGAATGTATTCACTAGCCACAATACAAAAACCATTAGCTTGGTAACTAAACATCTGCAGGAAAACAGCCAACTTCAGAAAGCACTCAGGATCGCACAGTTCAACCCTGAGCTCCAAATATTATCTTCTATCAGTTTTTTGGTGGGGGGGGACATTATTTCCATGGAGAACCAGGTTCCAAATGGTTCTTAGTTCTGGAGGCTACCAGCAAAACTGTCTCCTGGCCACCAACTATTTGAAAGTTACACCAAGACAGACCTACGATGCCCTCTTCAGCTTTTCAAAAGAGATCCAGTGGACCATAATAAAATAGCATTTGCCTCCAGGGGGACTGGAGCAGAGGTGGGTATTCAGCCAGTTCTGACAGGTTCTGGAGAACCAGTAGTGGAAATTTTGAGTAGTTCGGAGAACTGGCAAATCCCGCCTCTGACTGGCCCCACCCCCATCTATTCTCTGCCTCCCATTGAGTCCCAGCTGATGGGCTGGGTCTTCTTTGGTTGCCCTGCACAGGAGAATGGAGCTGGAAAGCAGGTTAGTGGGGTGGGGAGGGAATGGGGATTTTACAGTATCCTTCCCCTGCCACGCCCACCAAGCCATGCCCACCAAGCCACGTCATGCCATGCCCACCAAGCCACCAAGCCATGCCCACAGAACACCACGCCCATCAAGCTACGCCCACCTAGGATTCAAACTGAGAAATAAGGAGAAATTTTCTGACAGTGAGAGCAATCAACCCATGGAACAGAAGTTGCCTTTGGAAGTTGTGGGAGTTTCATCACTGGAGGCTTTCAAGAAGAGATTGGAAGAAATGGTACTTGGACAGGGAGTTGGACTAGATGGCCTTCAAGGTCCCTTCCAACTCTGTTAATCTGTTAGATATAGTTCGTTAGGGAGATAACAGATAGATAGATGATAGATAGCTTTCAAGAAGAGATTGGACTGCCATTTGTAAAAAAATGGTGTAGGGTCTCCTGTCTGGGCAGGGGGTTGGACTAGATGACCTACAAGGTCCCTTCCAACTCTGAATCTAATGACCCATCCTTTACTGGAAGGATAAGAAATCTCCAGCTGTTGCCCTGGGACCCTGACTCTGCCGGTGAGAGTTGCAGTGTAGCAACACCTGGTTCTTCCCAGCTCCTTTAGCTAAACAGGTTTTTTCTTTTTCAAACCACGCCATCGAATCAAGCTGGGAAGAATTGCAAAAGATGTATTATTATTTACGTACTCACGCTTTAATGGACGGCTGCCGTTTCTCAGACGTTAATTTAGGCACGACGTGCGCCGACTTTCAGGGGCTCCCTTCATTGGAAATAACCTAGAAATATTTTTTAAACAAACAAACAAAAAAAAAGACAAGGAAAAATTAAATACAAAAGACTTATTTATTTTTTATGCATTTATCCAGCTGCCTAACCTGAGGTTATGTTAACTCTGGGTAGCGTACAGGTAGTCCTCAACTTACGAAGCACAGTGGAGCCCAACATTTCTGTTCTTAAGTGAGACGATCGTGAGGTGAGTTCTGTCCCCATTTTACGACAGTCGTAACCATGAAAAACGGCCCTCAGTCTCTTTTTTCAAGGCTATTGTAACTTCAAATGGTCGCTAAACCAGCTGTTGTAAATCAAAGACTATTGGTATCTGCCTTGATGTTTATACCAAACAAATCAACGTAGAAGTTACATTTATTTTTACATTTTGCAGGCAGTATCTTTTTCCTCTTATCCACATTCTTGTTAAACAGGCGAATTGCCTTCCTAGACCTCAGCCACAAAAAGGCACACTACTAAAATAAAATTCAAAGGAAAACAACCCAGAAACGACCCACATTGCAAGAGGAAATAAAATACCTGTTGTTCAAAAAGTTTAGCCTCAATTGTGGTGGTAGGTTTATTCTTTCTTTCTTTTCTTTTTATTATTTACTAGCTCGATACCTGTGCTTCGCTACGAAACTATGTGGTCGGACTTAGTTTTTGGGGAGGAAAATAAAGGGGGGGGGGATTCTGCCTCTGCCTACAAGCATCCATCAGTATTCACCTGGCTAGCGTCTTGTCAGTGTGAGAGTTGAGGGCTGTTTGGAAACTGAAACTGTATTTGCTATGTGAGCAAGAAGGAGACAGCACGGAGCCTGGGTATGGCTTAGCTCACCTGTTCTGTACTAAAGCTGCTTGGTGTTCCAAAACTGAAACTGACACTCCCTCTCCTCTGCTTGGGTTTTGCATTTGGAAGAGATTTCTTTTCAGGTTGCGAGGGGGAGTAGATCTCCTTAGCATCAGAGTGTGTTAATAATAATAATATAGGAAATACTAATGCTCTGATGGTCATTTGGAAAAATCCTTTCTTAGTGAGCCCCTAGAAGCCAAGAGGAAGTTTTGGGTTTTGTTTCTGTCAACTAACCATTGATAAAACGAATCCCATGTTAAAAAAATAATCCATGTCTTCCTTCTCGTTTATTTGAGTGTTAATCTATCCATTTCTGTGCATTCTAATACTTTTTTAAAAATTACATTTTCATCTGTAGTGATCCCTTTCATTTTTCCATCGTTGTGCAAAAAAAAAAGTTATTCTCTTTCTAAGGAAGGCTCGCTAAACCGCTTAAGATATTTGCTGCTGGTCTCTTCCACCAATACTAACGTCTGCAACATACAACGAGATTTGTCTATTTTGCACTGAGTGTGGAATGACAACTATGTGGAGCATTTGGCCTGCAGGAGTCGGAAAACACAGGGTCAACCCCAGCCCGTAAGGTCCACTTAGAAGAAAGAAAACAGAACTTTAACCTTTTCCCCTTTAGCAAAGATTTACAGCCTTAATGAGTTCAGGACAAGAAAGAAAGGAGACACTGAACCCTTCATGATGGCCTGTAGACATTCGCAGCTTTGATAATCTTCAGACAAGTGCTATTTATTGTCCAAAATGGCTACAGGATGGGGAAAAGATGACAGGGATCATCCTGCAGTATGGGTGAAAAGTCAGAACCCCTTGGAGAATTCAAAAGGTTAAAGTGACATCCAAACAGAGAAAATGAAGGTATTTAGACACTAGAAAGTGCAATAGAGAAAAGCAACAAAGATGGTTAAGGAAGCTGGAGGCTAAAACCGTTCAAAGTTACCGTATTTTTCAGACGATTAGATGCACCTTGGTTTAGAGGAGGAAAACAAACCAAAAATAGTTTTTTTTGCCTCCGCACGTCCCTTTTTTGCCCTCCCCAGCGTCAGAGTCCAAAAATGGGACATGCGGATGCCTCCGAAGGTCCATTTTTGGCCTGCAGAGTGATTCTGGACACCGGGGAGGGCAAAAATGGGACCCATGGATCATTCAGGAGGCCAAAAACAGGCCCGTATTCATTCTATAAGACGCAAACATTTCCACCCACTTTTTGGGGGGTGGGAGTAGAAGTATGTCTTATAGTCTGAAAAATATACGGCACATAACAGCACTGAAAAATGTGACTTACGTCCGTTTGTCAAAGTTATGACTTTTGCAGCACCCCTGTGATCATGCAATCAAAGTTCAGACGCTTGGCAACTGGTTCATATTTACGATGGTCGCAGAGTCCCCGGGGGGGGGATCACGTGGTCCCCTTTTTAAACCTTCAGACAAGCAAAGTCAATGGGGAAGCCAGATTCACTTAATAGCCGTGTGACTAACTTAACAATGGCAATGATTCACTGAGCAACTATGGCAGGGAAAGTCATAAAATCAGCTGATCGTCAGAGCAACAGCTGATCATCAGAGCAAACCAGTTCGTACAAACCAGGACAAACCGGTAGAATCCCACCCCTAAATGTAAAACAGGACAGGGCGAGGGTGGGTGAGTGGATGGGGCCAACTGATTGGCAAACCGGTCCAAACCGACAGCAGCTCACCACTGGACCTCTCTGTCCTGTTTATGAACGTGAGCACCTGTAATGAGAAGAAAAAGTCTAACTGGATACATTATTGGTTTTATCCATAACAACAAACTAGCTAATCAAAGGAATTAAAGGAGAAACTTCCTCAACAGTGAGGAAAATTAAATTTAATAAAAATTTGGGTCTATAGAAGACACCCTCTATCAAATGATGCCATGAAAATTAGCTCGGTATTTTTAGATCAACTAAACATTGAAACTCAAGAGATCAGGGTTCATTTTTCCCTCGACCCAGGCATAAAAACTAGGCTGAACATAAAAACTATTGCTTGAACATCTTCCAAACTTATTCACAACGGAGGTAAACATCTCCCATTAGTGTGTAAAGGCTTGGATGGAAAATGTAAGGCTAAAATCTCAGAGGTCCTTTTAGGCAAGGGTTTCAGCTGGTGCTTCAAAGTCGCAGTGGAAAAAAACTATTGTGGGAATAAATTTTGCCACCAAACCTCTAAATCCAAGCTAAGTTTCTTTTCCTGAAGGAAAGGTTAATTACTCTGCCAATCACCACCAAAATCTCTCGCTAAAGAAATAACAAGTCCTCCTGAAAGTTAATTAAGGAGAGATTGTAGGAATACTTTAAAAAGAAAAGAAAAGAAAGGTATCTTGGAAAGTGCTGGATTTACAATTACAAGCAAGGCAACACAGCAAAATCACACCATTTATTCCCAAATGACTCAGGGCACCTTAGACGTAGATTAAGCAAAATACACAGACCAAATTAACAAGTTAACTAAGCATAAATTCATTTCCTTAATAATCACAGCCTCGGTATAGTTTTTAATTCCATTTAGGTGTGTGTGTGTGTGTGTGTGTGTGTGTGTGTGTGTAACATTTAATTTTGAAACTATCTCGAATGAACGGCACAATCAACGGAATATTCCAAGCGATGCAATACAGGATTTTTCAACTGGAAATTCAGCAGGCTGCATATTTCAAATATTTTATTTCTAGCGAAAGAAAAATATTTCAAATATGCAGCTTTTGGAGTTGGGGAAAATGCTGTAAACCTTAGGCTCAAATCACTTCAATTCTACAGAAATAAATATTACAAGAAGGGCAAAAGTCATTTCAGGAGAAATTATATCTTCTTCGATATAGTCTCCACTAGAGGAAAAATAAAACTGACAGTCCTAATTTACCAATTTCACGTCACAAGGATTATATCCGCTGAATGAGAACATGGATTTTTACCTGCTTTTGTCATGGTCGAAACAATTTCATTTCAATTTCAAAACGATCGCATTTCATTTCACTTAACAACTGTGTTGCTAATACAAGAACTGCAATAATTCACTGAATGACTGCGCCAGCGGTGGGATTCCAAATTTTTTCCCCCCACTGGTTCTATGAGAGTATGCTTTGCACGCATGCAGCACTCAAAAAGTACTCTCTGTCAGCGCTGTTGAGGTGAGCTGTTTTTAGCTCAGCTGAGGCACGGCAATCCACTCACCTGAGGTAAAACACAAGGGAATATAGGACAGGACAGGGTGGGGGCGGATGGGCGGGGCCAGCCAGAGGTGGTATTTGCCAGTTCTCCGAACTAGTCAAAATTTCCACTACCGGTACGCCAGAACCCATCTGAACTGGCTGAATACCATCTCTGGATTGTGACAAGAAAAGTTGTAAAATTCAATCTGCCTTTGGATTATGGATTTCCTGTGTGGCCACTTCCAGAGGGTCAGATTAAGAGAGTCATATCTCTCCAGGCCTTATTCTTAACACTGGTACACCACAAGGTTGCGTGTTGAGTCCCTTACTCTATAATCTTTATGGGCATGACTGCATTCCCACTCACGCCAGTAATACTATTACTAAATTTACAGATGATACAACAGTGGTGGGATTCATCTCTGGTCAAAATTAAGGAGGGTCTCTTCTACGGCCTTTAAAATGTTCCCATTTTTCTGCAGAGGATCAACCTGATTGTAGCTCTTCCCTCTGTGTTCCAAGGTCATTCTCACACGCTATTACAAATATAAATCCAGCAAATGGTCAAATCAAATAATGATACACGGACAAAGCAGAACTGCATGCAGATGAAACTGCTGACTACAGAGGAATCTGGAAAAAAAAATCCTTAAAGCAAATCAATTGGCCTCAAGAGAACAAGGACTTGTTTAAGGCAGCCTAACTGGCTAATTCAATCTTAGACATGTATTTAAGGGAGCCTGGATCATGTTTAAAGAAAGGAAGAATTTGTGCCTCTTTCTCAGAGTGCTGTCAGCATTGTTATGAATCAGCATTTAAAGGTATATTAAGGGGGGGGACAGGATCCCAAGTGACCTTTTTATTCTCCGAAATATTGAAGATCCTGATTTTGATAAATCAGTGCAAATGTTCTTATTTGTCATCTAGCAAATGCAATTTTGCCAAATCTCTACGCAAAACACAGAGCAGACTCAGTGCATGATGTTT